ATAATACTTTTATACTACAGTCTATGTACTATGTTTCGGAAGTGAACATTTTTGGTTGAGGAAGAACATTCCAATACAGTCTGAAAATATGATATACAATGTACGGTTCTTTTACTAGATATGTGTAATTCAGATATGGTACAAAATGTATATGGACAAAGTTTTGGGAAAAAAACATACAACATTTCAAAACATTTCCAACCTGACTTTGAACCAATTCAGTAGAATGGCCCATATAGTAGCATTAAATAGGAATAAAGTGAAAAAGTATAGTACAAGTACATACAAATTGTACTTAAGTACAGTACTTCATTAAATATACTTAGCCGCTAATACCATAACACACGTGAAACTCAAATCAAACTGACATGGAAAGAAAAATAACTACAGAAAATCTGAATACTGTATTAGTGTTAGTTTAGTTTTCTTCCGGCTGTGAGCGGCTCTTCCCCTTGTGCATTGCAATTTTGGAATAGCGTTACTCAACAGAACAATCATTCATTTGTCTACATACTGTCAGCACAGCTTGGGGGTTTATTGCCTGCACTATAAAAAGGAAACGAAAAGACAAGTGAGACATTAAGTGGTTGATTAAGTTGATTTATTGACAGTTAAAAGGCTCCAGGTCTTCAGTACTGCAGCATTGTCTGGAAGATTGAAAAGAAAGTGAGATCGCACCTGGATAAAGCAATCGAAGAACTGCAGGAGTGTTACCGTTACACAGGAACTAGATTACGTTTGCTAATGATTATTTTGGACGTGTCTCCCCGAATACATTATAATTACGGTCTTGATATTTTGTACATTGTGTATAAACTGGTGTGTCACTTGTTCTCTAAACTTCAGTCATTTAGGATCTTAAGACATTTCTGGAGCTCCCTTTATTTATTAATAGATTGCAAATACTTATATTGCACACCAGCATTATGTACAATATATAGAATCCTTTGTTAATATTGTATCCGTAGGTTGGTGTATTGTAGCGTATAAATCCATCTTTATATTGTTTGTTCCACATATGCTCTATATAAATCTTTCTACCGTCAATATTTATTCATTACATGTTACTTGTTAGACGCTTACATGCTCAATACTGTGGACAATCCCCACAGGAGCAATTTGGGGTGAAGTGTCTTGCCCAGGGACACAACGACATGCTGACTGCAGTGGGGTTTGAACCTGAGACCCCCTGATCCGAACAACAAGGCTCTATCCACTGCGCCACACGCCTCCCCATATTTATATATTTACACGTTTTTATTATGCATTTTAATTATTTGTTCTACTCATGCAAGCCCCCTGCTGCAACTACATTTACAAAGTTACAAATATTATATGTAATCTAATATAATATAACATTTGTTACATTTTGGACTATGACTAAAATATGTTGAATTGATCTCTCCAGTGGAGATCCAAAAACAGTATTGCTTTTCATGAGGTTCATGGTGTCCCAACACTTTTGAACACTCTTTATGTTGCTTTCTCATTCATTTGTCAAATGTGTGTGAAGAATACTTACGTCACTGATCCACTTGGTGAAGGAAGAGGTGCGAGTGAACACCGTGGGCTTCATGAGGGTGTTGCATCCTCGAGAGGAGACAAAGCTGGTCACTCCCTGCACGTACCACCGGCCGTCCCTGCCCCTGCAGTTCAGAGGGCCGCCTGAGTCTCCCTGCAGAAACACACAGAGACAGGTGAAGGCAACAGTGTGAACCTGCAGTCTCTAACATGTTGTGATGAAGGGGGCAGTGCATACATGGCAGCCAGAGTGGATGTCACCGCCACCGCAGATCATGGTGGTCTTCACGGTGCCCCCCCACCAGCCGCTGCTGCTGCACACGCTGTGGCTGACCACAGGGAGCAGAGCCTGCTGGAGCTTAGAGGCCAGGGGACCCCCACCTGCAGGAGGAGAATACAAAGTTAAAAACAAAGCATCGCCAGGTCACAACTGCTTGAATAGACAAATATTTTCTAACTGCCCTTTTGAAGAATTCCTTCCTTTTGCTTTACGTTGCATTTTCTTCCTGCAGCATTTTTTTACTCATCAATGATAGTGGTTTGAATTTCATTTTTGTTCAATCCTCTTTAATCTGGATTCAAACCTGCCATTTTACATCTCTTTTCTAAAATGTGTTGTGGCGTTATAAAAACTGACTGTAGATCCTCCCCCAGCCGGTGATGTAGCAGGGGTCGTCGTGAGGAGCGACCTCTCCGCTCTCTGGCACACAGGAGGGCTGCACCTTGTCGTTCAGAACCACAGAGGAGGCCAGTTTGATCATGGCGATATCATTGCTAAACAACAAGAAAATCATGTTGAAAATAGAGGCATATCTTAAGGAGAGAAATAACAAAAATGATGAATCAATCTAGATGAAGAAACAGGAAATGGTCAAATGCTTATTCATTAGGACTCGTTCCTGGCTCACTCTTTTAACCAAGGACCTCAAAGCTGAATTTACTATTTTACTTATAGTACTGTATGTTGCATTTTTGTTTATTTGTTGATTGTATATTTGTTTCAAATGAAATGTGTCTTTAGGGTGACTCACAAAATCTGTCCAGGGACTACAGATGAATAATAGCCTCTTGGCTAACTCTGGCAACTTTACAGAAATGTTGATTAATGTGCACTGTTCAATAAATGAATAAATAAAATAAACGATTAACTTAAACATTTACAAGTCACTCTACAGTAGTCTATCTGTCTCCAAGTGGCCAACCAAAAAAACAATCAATGCAATTTGAAAATTTGAAACTCAAAATGGAAAAAGCAGTGTGTAGGAGTTATACACACTTACCCACAGGACAGGCAGTTGTCATTCCAGTCAGGGTGAACAACGATCTTCTCCACACTCCTGATCTGCTCGTTGCTCTCCTCTTTGGTGAGGTCATACTCGCCCATCACCACGCGGTAGGTACGAGATCTGAAACACATATAAGTACAGTGTAAAGAGACACACATATTTTAGCCTAAACCTTCATTTCACATCACACAACAGAGAAAGAGAGTGAACTCACCAGATGCAATGACCAGCAGTCATCACCCAGTTGTGGGAGAGCAGGGTGCCACCACAGGTGTGACGGTACGTGGAGCCACTGAGATACTGCAGAGAGATCTGAGAAGCAGGGGTGGAAGAAGTACTCTGATTTATTAGTAAAAGTAGCAATAGTAAACTTTGAAAATACTCTGTTACAAGGGTAACTCCTGCATTCCAAGTCTTACAAAGGTAAAAGTAAAGTATAGGTTTGGCATCAAATATCAATTAGTGTAAATACCAATTTTAAGAGATCTCATTAAGGGTGATGACACATTTAGGAATCATATATATTAAATAACTGGATCATGATTATTGATTAATGAATGTGATCATACTGTAACAGCTATTAAAAGGGGAGCTAATGACTCAATATACTGCTGCTGGATTATATTAGCTTTAAAGATATGTTTATTTATTAGTTGATTTATATTTTGTATTAGCTAATAATCTGAATCCTTAACTAAATTGATTTACCTATGTGTTGTACAATTGTCAGATACATTGAAGTATTTCAAATGCATGCTAGTGTATACAGCTAAGACAGAAATATTTAAATAGATGTATTTAAGAGCAAGGTTTTCAAATGAACATTTAACATGAAATACAGTATATGTTGAGACTATAGAATAGACTCAAGTTTTAAACGATAAAATTAGCGGTTTTTGACCTTTTTTGCTAATAAACTATTTTGGTTTTCAAGGTTATTCTTTTTTATTAGTAACTCTGTTTTTTTATTTCTGTTATTTTATTTTGACTAAAGCATAATGTATTTCCACACAGAAATGTTAGCAGACCTGCTCATTTATCTGCTGCACTGTCAACAATAAAACAGACACATTTAAGAGATGTGACAGAAAACAATCTGTGAGTTGGCAGATCTTTATCCCCTCATGTCTTATACATGCCATACGTCAAATACACTGATCATTATTGTCTCACCTGCCAGGGCCAGCTGTAGGGTCGAGCATCCTCTCCGTTCACAACGCGGCTCACAGAGGGAGGATAGTTGGGGGTGCCGCACCCGTGAGCTGGGCCACGGAGAGAACCAGAGGTTAGAAAGGTGATACAGCTCATTTCTAACACTAAAAGCTGTTATGCTTGCTGTCACACAAGTTTGACCTTGCGACATTTGTCTGCGATTAGGTTGCTTTTCCTAACTTTGTTTGCTGCAGAAAGTCACATATTCTAAGGTATAGTAGTTGTCTGTCTGACAGATGTCTCCCGGCTGTCTGTGGATATGTATTTTGGGAAGAGAGCAAACATGCTGCTGGATAAAAGTCATAGAAGTCAGAGGTCTTACATGGCTGGCAAAATCCAACACACACCATCCTGTCCAAAACTCACTAGAGCAACAAACTGGGATTAATCCGCAACTAAAATAGTGCCAAACAAGTGCACTATTTCCACCATTTAGATTACAGTTACCAGCTATATATATATTATTTGTTGGATGCATTTTTGTCTTTAATAGGAACAAATGGGCTAAGTGCCACAGATTTGGGACTTGAGGCACGAACTAAGGCCAGAGCTGTACTTGCTTTTTAATTACACTTTTAAATCACTTTCATTTTTGAGGATATATATAATTCCCAATGAAGCAAACAAGACTTTAAAAGTAAAGACATCGTCGACTTCACACGTTGTTGATTTGAATATTTGCGTTGATGTTAAAAGAAAAATAAAGTTCTGATTATTTATTTTTCTTAGCATTGAACAGATCAATCAATCAATCATAATAAAATGTATAAAACAAGATTAAATAAAAATAAGAATGAAAAAATAACATAATGAAAACATTCCAATTAAAAGCCAAATTAAAAAGGTGGGTCTTGAGTTTGCTCCTAAAAAATATATACCCCCTTAAACCAGTTGCATGGAACTCACCGTAGGCAGCAAACAGCAGGACAAGGGCCACTTTCATCATGATTGGATGATGGTCTGTCTGAGTGTGGTGTATGGCTTTTATACTCAGAAGATTGACAGTGAACACACACACACACACACACACACACACACACACACACACACACACACACACACACAGCCAGCTTTTGAACTGGGAATCTATTTTCCCTCCAGCATCTGTCTCACCTCTCCTTACATAACCCCTGCAGAGCCAGAAAAAAACAACACAGGTACAGAAATATAACAAAGTGTTAGACTTTTGGGGGTGTAGAAGGGGGTGAGAGTGAAAACAAGAATATGGCAGTTACACGTTACAATAATTTAAAAGAGTATTTTAAAAGAGAAGAAGAATCCACAATGGTTTACAGTCTACATTTATTTTGTATTTCATTCCAATAATCTTCAAACTTCAAGTACAGTACTACATCTAATGACACTTGGTTTTCCTAAAGTAAAGTTTTGAAAGCAGGACCCTAGAGTAGTATTTTACACATTGTTTATAGTATACGTATGTTTGTAGTATTTATTTTGTTGTTTGATTTAATGTTGTGTTTTTAATGGAAACACTGAGTGTTATATGCATTAAATGCATTTCAGAAAAATAAAACATTTGTTACATGTTTGTTATTTAAAGAGGTGAGATGAATCTGAAATATTCAAAAAGTGTCAGTGGACAGCTTAAATCCTGTTTTAAAAGTCATGAAGTATAATTTAGGCTGAAGCATCCAAAAAAAAGTTATAATCAATCAAACAATTAGCAGTAATAAAAAAGTATTTAGTGTTGACCAGGATTCTGTATTTCCCCCCTGAGTCTGTGTCCTTGAATCAGGGAAACCTCTCCAGCAGGCGCAGGTGGAAAGAGTGAAGTCGTGCCAAGATCTCTTCCAGGGTGTCGGGAGGAGCCAAAACACACAACCTGAGGGGAAGGAAAACAATGCATTACCATGTATGAACACATATATGAGTCTAAAGGACAAATCATTGGTGACTTGATCAGAATTATACATTTAAAATGAAGAAAAACTTGCAGCGAGATAAATATGCCCAACAAAGAGTCCCTATTACCCTGCCACGCCACACTGTTAGTGGAATGATCTGAACTGTCCAACACTTTCCAGGATGTTCCCACTTTACAAAATGTCTTAGGTTCATATTCACAAAGCTTCAGGCTTCAAAGAATTCTCCTAGTGTCAAATTCTAAGCAAAAAATCTTGGAAAAGTAAATGTTTTATAATGATTCCCCCTTACAATTAAGATTAAATGAATATATAAGTTCTCCACAAAGCACCTAAGAGAGCTATTCAATACAAATACAAAATGTTAGGAGAAGAGGATTTTTAATAAATAAATAGTGATAGATTTACATGCCAACCAAATTACATGTACATTTGTTCTGTGGCTAAGTTAGTTAGTAGCTCTCTAAATGAATAAAGCACTCTTTCTAAAATGACCATATTTTCACAAAACTTTTCATAAATGTCACAAAAAGTCCCTGGGTTTCATAATACCCTCTCTTTCCAAAAGTCTTTAATAATCTATCTTAGTACAATGTTCTCTCTATAAAAAACTACAACAACAGTGTACTCTGTTTTTTTGTATTCCCTTAGGGGCCTGTTTATGCTTTTTGGGCTTTCCTTTCCTCTAGTGTGTAATGTAGGTTTCTTCTCATGTAAATGGTCTACAAAGGCTAAAATCCCAAATTTCTCTCTCGCACACTCCCCCATTCCTGAAACGCATCAATTTGACTCCAATTTGTTTAATTCTGGAAAATAATGACATCACTGTTTTACACTCACTCTTCTATTGGCTAGCGCTCCAAGACATTGCACGTGAGAGGTTAAGGGGCGGGACATATCTAAGCGGTAGACCAATCAAATATAGACGGCCAGCTAACCAATCAAAGCAGACTTTGCTCTGGTTTCAGACAGAGGGTGAAAAGACGTGCTGCAGCATTAAAGAATGGAGACATGTCACAGTAGAGGCACAACATACACCCTACACCTTCAAAACTTAAACTAGCATAACAGGGCCCCTTTAAATAACACATGCCTTCATGAAGGTATCAGGCATTTTCTTTTTACCTGATGTGGAAGTTTGGATCTACTTGTCCGTTCTCACTGCCGGCTCCCAAACGCACACCTTCCTCCTCCAGTAACCTCTGGCAGTAAAGCTCATCTGCCTCCACTCCTAACATCTGGAATGAATCACCTTGACCAATTGTAATTAAAGCTTTTCAAGGCATAATATGAGATATGATGCACAACATGAATCAATTTAATAATGTTTCTCATACAGTAATCAGTGATTCTTGTGAGTAAAGAAAAAATGATAAATATTTTTCTTTCTTTCTTTTTTTCCTTGACTTTTAAAATTAAATATTCAGAGAATAGTATATTCTTATATTAATAATAAACAGCCATAAACTTTTGTAAAACGGTTTTGGGCTTGAGGTCCAGTGGTGATGATCCCTCACCTTGGCCTCCTCTACCATCTGAGGTGGTAAATGCAGACGGGGAAAAATAAAAACTCCCCCCCTCGCTGGTTGGCATTTGATCCCAGGTAGATCATTCAGGAACTCACAGGCACGCTGAGCATTCTGGGACAAGGTTGTCAAAGAGTGAAGAATCTCCTGCAATTATTGATAAGATTTTAAGTGAAGATGATTGTGAAAGGAATCATTCATAGTGAAAGAGCAACATAGAGGCCCAATTCCAAACCGCCCCCAACGCACTCCCACTCTGTGAGTGAACTCGTCACACCCACAGCTGAATGAGGCTTCCTTCTTTAAGGTGGAGGGTGTAAATACAGCTTTGGGAAAAACTTGCCTTTCTCAAGGAAAAACTATTTATAATGACCATATCTTCCTTTCTAAAAGGGTTAAATTAATAATCTTTTTTCTCAAAGTAGTGATAAGCCTGTGAGTTGGATGTAGAAAAGTCAGAATCAATATAGATGTTTTTTATTTTAAAGAAAATTCAGATTGAACATGGTAAAAAACTATAGGTTACTTACGTAACCCCAGTTCTCAGAGTAACATGAAGTGAGATGTCTCACTATGGGATGCGCCTCATCGCGGAGCAAATAGAAGCATCAATCTCATTACGCCAATCCTGATTGACTGGTGATCTTGACGTCAGTGTCAGGGAATCTAACCCCTATAAGTAGCTTGCGCTACGCCGCATGCATCATTCAAAATAAGCACCTCTTCTCGCTTCACCATAGCAAGGAGGGCCGTCTGGTGAGACATCTCACTTCATGTTACTCTGAGAGCCCATCTAAAACCACTGTCAAGTCCCATAAGGGCACCAGTGACCTGGAAACAGGAAGGAGCCTGCGAGCTCCCTTCATAAAACGGCAGACCAGAGGATTGTTGGCCGGCCGTCTTACCCTCAAAACCCACATGGCATGCAGCAATAGCAGCCAGGTAGACTTTGATCGTGGAGAAAGCTCTGTGTTTATCAATTAGATCCTATAGAAATGATAAAATCACTCCCACAGGGCATTGAAAAGAGGTGTGCCCTTTTTGAAGGCACCAGTCCTCAAACACCCTCCACTTACAATCATAGAGAGACCTAGTGGAGGAAGCTCTTGCACTCTGAATAGTGTTTATCACCTTCTGCGGGAGACCCACTGCATTCAGATTATACCACTCACGGGCCAGGCCCATAGGGCCATGCGCTCCGGGTGTGGGTGAAAGATCGCCCCCCCCGCCTGAGATAGTATGTCTCTGCGTAGGGGGAGCTGCCACGGCTGACCGCACATTAGCTGATATATCTCCCCCAGCCAGTACATTGCAGGCCAGTGCGGAGCTATCAGGATCATTGTGTGTCGCCGTTCCCTCACTCTGGCCAGAGTTGGGGGTATCAGCGCCAGGGGTGGAAACGCGTACAGGAGGACCGGAGGTCAAATGTGCGCGAGCGCGTCCACGCCTAATGGTGCGTTTTGATCGCGCATTGAAAAGAAAAAGCTAGACAGTGAGCATTTTCTTTTGATGCGAACAGATCTACCGCGGCTCGGCCGTAACGCACCCACAGCTGGCTCACAACCATTGGATGTAGAGTCCAGTCTGCATATAGTGGTACGCCTCTGGACAGCAGGTCTGCCCCGAGGTTCATCACACCCGGTACGTGTCTCGCTCTCAGAGAGAGGAGACGGTCCAGCTCCACAAGATCAGTTTGCGTGCCAGCATGTGTAACTGGAGAGAGCGCAAACCCCCTTGTCGGTTTATATACGATATTGTGGTCGTATTGTCCGTCCTCACGGGGACATGGTGTCCTCTGAG